TCCAACGAAACCCAAGATTGTTGTAGAACACTGGTAAACTTTGTATATGTTTTCGATTTCTGTATTGTCTTTTAGAGATTTCATGAGAAAATGGAGAGTCGCAAAATCGGAAATTTAGGGTTTTTTCTCTTCGAAATTGAAGCTTAAGCCTTGGTGTTATTGAACTGTCTGTTGGGGATTTTTGTGTGTCCGTGTTGCAACTAGGGTTTCTGTTTTCTTATTGTTAGGGTTTCTTCTTGGTTCTGCTGAACTTTTCTTTGACAGTGGTCAGTGGTTTTGGCAAAGGAAATGGATTTGACTATCTGCTTTCTGTGTGGATTGCTATGTGTTCACATAATAGAATCTGCTTTTGGTACTTTTGTGTTGTTTTCTTACACTAAGTGTTTTGTTTGTTATGTTTTTGAAGTAAACAATGTAATGCTTTCAAGACAAGGGCTATTCAGGTGAAGGAAAGATTGGAGGAGGCTGTTCCTGGCGTGATGGTGACTTTGAATCCTGAAAAGGTAATTCTTTTTACTACAGATTAATATATTGTCATGATTTACGGTTGTGTTTTATCATGTTTTTTCACATTATGCTTGATAAGAAATCTTCTCCATCGCTAATTCTTTCGTTGGATGTTCTCGAACAGCCAAGGCGGGGTTGCTTTGAGATCCGAGAGGAAGGTGGCGAAACATTCATCAGTCTTTTGGTAAAACTTTCATTCTAATACTTTGAAAACAATTCTCAATTGGTCTCACTTCTGAGTATAGTGTGTTCCGTTTGAGTAAGGTTTATTGTCAATACTAATTCTCATTGTCAATTGGATTTCAATGTGCCTCCTATGGAGTTGCAAGATATGATTTATGTTAGTGACTGTGAGTATACATCATGGATATCTTTGCCTTTCCTTGTTCTTAGTTTAGAACTAATTTGTATATTATGTTGATCTCATTATGTAGGACATGAAGCGTCCGTTTGCTCCAATGAAGGCACTTGATATGGAAGAAGTCATTGAGGACATCATAAAGAAAATTAAATGAGACACCTACAACAGTCGACCCTTCCTGTGCCCAATCTTTTGTTTGTTTCTATCTCGGCGTTGATTTAATCAAGTAGGACTCCATAGAAGACTGCCTAGGTTCTCTTCTCTATTATTGTTTCGGTATAAGCCCTGTAATTGCAGTCTCACCATTTTGCAATGCGTGGTTGGCTTGGTTAATAGAATATGCTTCTTTTTAGTTTCAAATGAACTCATATTCGTAATGCTAGTCTGATATCATCTCGTTGCTCGAAACAAAGCATGCAGAAGCGTGTTTTGTTGGGGTTGGGTATGGTTTTAACATAAGTATATTCAAACATACACTTAGACAAACTCACATTTGAATTTAGGATGGCTGATAAATACAATGCATGTTGAATAGAAAGCTCACTACATTTAGGTTTCACTTCGAACAGCTGTCTCTCTTCTTGGTAAAAAACTACAGAAGAAATGTTGAAAATCTCACCTACCATTATTGTCTTCAACCCGAAGAACCTAAACCCATCTTAGAACCTAGCAAAGCTAGCTAAAAATGCTAGCAAGAGAATCACATCAAATCTTAAACCAGCCTTCCAAGCTGAAGAGGTGTGTCCAGCTTTATCAGCAGCTTCTATCTTCTCATTATTGGCGCTTGGAGCTGGAGCAGGAGTATCTGCCTCCGGTGTTTCAGTTGCAGGTGTAGTTTTTGGGACAATAGTATCTGAGGCATTGTTTGCATCAGCTGGTTCAGGAGCTAGAGCTGGAGCTGTTGCAGCATTCATGGGAGATGGTCCCGGAGCCATTGCAGCATCTGTG